TCCATGGGGTCACGAAGAGTCGGACACGACTAAACAACAACAAAGAAGCATACACAACGGAAGTTGCAATAAATTGCAATATTAAAGTGCAGTTGAATTATGATTATGAAAAGGCTGCAAAGAGTCTTGAATAAGTAATACAGTTCTGTGGCCAACAGGGTAGTTGGAGTTTGAAAAGTTTCATGTCCTTGTGGATCTTACCTGAGTTTAAAATGGATTGTTTTTTTTTCCTGATCCTTTGGAGATTCACAAATGAAGACAACTGATTTTGACAACCATTCAAAAACCACATACTGTATTTTTCCATGTATAAGACACCCCCATGTATAAGACCTGTCCCTTTCTAATCCAGAATTTATTTCTTCGCAAGAAAGTGGAGAGGGGAAGGCAGGGATCAAAAGCACTTTGATGAATAAGACGACCCTCAATTTTTAATCAAAATATTTTAGACAAAATATCATCTTATACACGGAAAAGTACGGTATGTGTTCTTTTCCACATCTCTGATTAGATGACCACAACAGACCAACCTTGCTGCTACAGTGTGAGATTTCAGTTTGCAAAGAAGGGACTGAGGAGGCCAATCCAAACTGTCTTATTTTTTTGGGTAAACACGGTAGTGAGGCAGATATCAGAACACTGTGAATAGGAGCATAAACTTTCTGATGCATGCTTGCATAACATATTTTTTCATCAGTTTGAAGAAAGTGCTGCCAGTACAAAACGCTCATATCCGTATCAAAAGTGTGTAATATTAAATGAGCAACTGCTATAAAGATTGTTATTTTTAAGAAGTATGCATTTCTCTTTAGGTAACCTGGCAGATATTTTTTTAAAAAAATCATTAAATAAATGCATCTTTTTGAAAATGTCAAATTATTAAATATTGAGATAATAGTTAAACCCAATTATCATGCCAACTAAAGAGACCTGTAGAGATCAATGGGACTTAAATGTGGTGATTAACTGTGTTCATTCATTTCAGTGGGTCTGCTTTCCTTAGAAATAGAATAGAATTTAGTCCATTGAATGAAGTAGGGTAGTTGAAGCTATTATTTGTTATCATTAATGTGTAGCATGTTAAAGTGACACACTAGAACCATAATAGCTTCAGAGATAAACCAAAGTCTCTTCTGTAGTTCCAGTACAGGTTTGAAAAGTAAAACTCTTGCTCCCATATGAATTAGCAGAAGCATTAAAAAAAACCCATGTCACACTCTTTGGAATCTATTTTGCTTTTGAATAGCTCTTGATATATATTGTAACACTGAAATCTACTCACAGGGGTTCCATGCGAATTGGGAAGGATTTTATCCTGTTCACAAAGAAGGACAACACCATGACCTGCCTTTTCTTGTCCCGCACATTTCACGAGGAGGAAGGCATTGATGAGGTTCGCAAGTATTTTATGACTTTAAAAATCAGTTTATACATGCCTGTCACTGAGTTACACCACCTTTTTTCAATACATGTACAGATCGGTGTGAAGTGACTGAAGCAGACTGTTCAGGGTATCCTGCATCTTGACTTCCTTCTGTTGGTCACACTGCCGTTGTTTTCCTCCCATCCTCTGTGTCCTTTTTCTGATGTCTGTATTTATGTATTTTAGTTCTCTTGACACAATTCCTTGGTTGGCTAGAACATGGTTGTATTTTATTTTCAGTTACACCTGTTTTTAGCTATTTGCATTTTTAAAATCCATACCTTGTTCTTCTGAAGCATCCTGTAAGCCTTGCACATATGCACTTTTGTGCGCTTTTTTTCCCTTCGCAAGGCTTGACAAGTACAAAAAGCTCATTTACATTTAGCGTTGTGTTAGTCTACTGTAAATTCACAGTTCAGAAAGTAAAAGGTGCTAGATTTACAGTATTTGAGCTTAGTACATTTAGTTTTGATTTGGTACCTTTACAATCTTTGGAGGCAGTGATGATATGGAGACAGGAGCGAACTCAATATGCTCAAAAGAATATATTTTTTAAAATTTTGTCCTTGACATGTAGGTCATTGTCCCACTGCCCACATGGAATGCCCGTACTAGGGAGCCTTTGTCAGACAATCTGGATAGATTTGCCATTGAGACTGAGCTGATTTACAAGTATTCCCCCTTCAAATCTGAGCAAGAACTGATGGAACAGTTTAACAAGATTCCTGAAGATAAAGGTGAGGATTGAATCTGTATATGATTTTGATAGGAACTTGATTCTGTTCTGGGAAGTCAGGGAAATAGAAATTGGTTGAAATTCAGGATATTTAGATCCAGTTATTCATAAGTTTCTTGAGATGCTGCCACTGGAGGACAATCTAGATGTCTGGCTGTTGTGGTAGAGAAGAGGCGGAATACGATGTAATTATCATACGTAGAATAATGGAGTTGGATTGACCTCTAAGGCCATTTAGTCCAACCTCCCTTCTCAAAGCAGGAAGCCTTGTCCGAGTAGACAGATGGCTGTCTAGCTTTCTCTTCAGTGCTTCCAGTACGATGCACACATATTTCTGTAGTACAGTTTTGAAAACATTTACAAACTTAAAATTGACGACAATGAAACTGGATAAAACATGTTTATATATAATAGCATTTTTAATGGAAAAGTTGACTGGCTTTTTGCAGTTGAGTGTTTTTTGGATTTAGACAAATCAGAATCTGTTTCGGTTGGTTTGACAATGTCACTGTTTTGACAGAAGTCAGCAAATGTTGACTGACTGGACTTCGTAGCTAGTCATTATTTTTTCTAACCAGCTAGAAGAAATGTCCTATAAGATTGCTGTACTCTTGATTGGTTTAGAGATGAGACTTTGTATGCAAAGCTGTTAATAAAGGCAAAGTTTTTAAAATGTAACAATGTACTATATACATATTAATGTAATACAGAGTTAAGCACGGAGTCACACAGACAGAGTCTGTCAAAATCCTAATAAGAATATGCCACTGATATGGAAAACAAAGCGATGGCCCACAAATAGGAAATTCAATATGCATTTTCACACGGAGTCACACAGATGGAGTCTGTCAAAATCCTAATAAAAATATGCCAACTGATATGGAAAACAAAGCAATGGTCCACAAATAGGAAATTCAATATGCATTTTCATCTTCAAGAAAGGAGATGCCAAGGGGTGTAGTAGGCAAGGTGCATTTTATCCCCCTATCTGTTCAATCTGTACACAGAACATATCATACAGAAAGACTAAATTCAGAAGAGAGAGAGGTGAAAATGGGTGTAAGAAATGTCAATAATTTTAAATATACAGATGACATAATCTTACTGGCAGAAAGCAGCAGAGACTTGAAATGACATTTAGTGAAAGTGAAAGAAGAAAGTGCCAAAGCAGGATTGCAGTTGAACATTAAGACAAAGATCATTACAGAAATACTAAACAACATTAATGTTGGCAATGAAGAAATTGTTAAAGATTTTGTTCAGCCATCAATTGAAATAGAGACTGCAACCAAGAAATCAGACTGAGACTCGGAAGGGCAGGAATGAAGATATTAGGAAAGTTCCAGAAGTGTAAGGATGTGTCACTGGATACCAAGACTAAAGTCATCCACACCCTTGTATTTCCAGTCACCATGTATGGGTGTGAAAGTTGGAGCAGTAATGAAAGTTGACTGGAAAAAAATAGATTCATTTGAAATGTGTTGCTGCAGGAGAGCTCTACGGATACCTTGGACCACCAGAAAGACAAACATGGGTCCTAGATCAAATGAAGCCTGAACTATCTCTGGAGGAAAAAAAAAAATGTTGAATCTGTGGCTGTCCTCCTTTGGTGTCATTGTGAGAAGGCAGAATTCTCTGTAAAAGACGAATCATTCTGCCCCCACCCCGTGAGTGCTGCCGTGCGCATGTGCACAAGTGCACTCCGCCCCCTGCGAGCGTGCCACACCCCCACTGTCGTACTGCCCTAACTGCACATTTTTCCTGATACGGAACCAAAATCTAGCTTCCTGTAGCTGCCCCCTGTGAGTGCTGCCGTGCGCATGTGCATGAGTGCACTCTGCCCCCTGCGAGCGTGCCACATCCCCACTGTCGTACTGCCCTAACTGGACATTTTTCCTGATACGGAACCAAAATCTAGCTTCCTGTAGCTTGAACCCACTGTTACATGTGCTGCTCTCTGGATGATTGAGATTAGATTCTGCCCCTATTCTGGATGACGACTTTTCAGATATTTGAAGAGTACCATCCTTTTTCCCCTCAGTTTTCTTCTCTCAAGTTAATGATGCGTATCTTGAAACTGCTATCACTGTATTCAACAGTGTCAAGAAATAGGCTGAAACGTTCAGGTTTTGTAAAAATGGCAACAGAAGTTGCTCTCTGGATGATTGAGACTAGATTCTGCCCCTATTCTGGATGACGACTTTTCAGATATTTGAAGAGTACCATCCTTTTTCCCCTCAGTTTTCTTCTCTCAAGTTAATGATGCGTATCTTGAAACTGCTATCACTGTATTCAACAGTGTCAAGAAATAGGCTGAAACGTTCAGGTTTTGTAAAAATGGCAACAGAAGATTAGTTTGCTGAAGTATAAAACAGTACCTGAACCTTTTTTTAAATAAAGACACAAAAGTCAAAGGTGCGATTTCCCCATGAAAAGCTTTATGGGCTGATCTGATTGCTTTGATTTCAACCATAGAGAAACTGAGGGCTTTTCTCATTCTTGGCTTAGACAAAGATTCGGAACCTTTTGGAGGTCAATGATTCATAGGATCAAAAGCGAAGAAACTTAAGATAACGATGCAGGAACAACACATTCCAGCTCCTCCGCTGAGTCTGTTTTAATTGCTTTGGATTGCCTTATTTTCTTAAGGAGTGCTGTTGATGCTTCTGCTTAAAGAAAGGAAGAACGTTCAGGAAATCTTACGCATAGAGAAACCAACTGTAGTTAAAAAAAACATGGGCATATAAAAAATAGTAACAAGAAGTTTAAGTTTCTTTTTCCTAAAAAATCTGCTGAAAAACTGTAGGTTGATGAATTGATACTACTGAAGGAAGTGGTGAGTGACTTCTCTTATGTTCCCCCAAAAAGTGTCAGGCAGTGGGGCCAGATCCAGAAACTCAACCCACACTCCTTATATTATCAGATTGGTAATCATCTGAGAATGCAAAGTATAACCAAAGAAAATGTTTGCTTGATTTTACATAAGATCATTGATTCCTCACTGCTTAAAATAGTCAAGAATATCTTCCAGCGACGCAGCTACATTTCCTGTAAACTTGATTCACTAAAACATGTATTTGATGGTTTCATCCAGAAGGTTGTGAATCTTCTATCCCCGCTGACTACTCAGAGAGGCTGTGTTTCCAGAAAGCACAGACACCAAAAGATGCTTCCTTGCAGGAGGCAGTAGTTAAAGGGATGGGAAGGGCCTGCTGGTTGAGAACTAATCAGCTTGTGCCGCACATTGTAAACAATCACTTCAGCAGCAGCTGTTGAGTAAATAGAACTATTCTGCATTCCCTGATCCGGTTACTGTACTTAAATACAGTAAGATTTAAACGTATGATTCCTTGATCTTCACAAATTTGAAAAACTGTCAACATTACCATAACTAAGAAAAGCACTTTTGACCATCCAGCTATACCTGTGCCATTACAAGGAAATGTGAAATTTTTCTTCAAGAGCATATGGTATTTGAGATTGATCACTTTCTAATTCCAAAGAATGTAAGTGGGATACTGTCTTGGACCTTTGGCAAAAATATTGTCATTCATCCTTATTTAGTGTTTACTTGTGCGGATCTTTCCATCTTTATGTGATTTTTGTCGAGTTTGAAACCAGACGTGTTTCTGAATTAACAGTGTTCAAGGACGTCTCCATTTTGACCAAAAAAAGCACTTCAGTATGTAATTTTAAGCCATGCTACGTTCTCTATTTAATATCATCTGTTAATTTTTACATTTTTGTGAAATGGTGGCCAAGAAAATCAAGTCGATTAGGGAAAGTCAGGAAAATGGAAAATAAAATACTATTTGTCTTTGATGAACTTAACGTAGCTTTGTACTCGAAGGAAGAATAAGCATATGAGAAGCTTAATATCGTTGTTTCTCATGTCTCAGGGACCTTGGTGATTATCTTCAACCTCAAACTGATGGATAATGGTGAACCTGAGCTGGATGTGACCTCTGATCCCCGAGATATCCAGATGGCAGAAACACCACCAGAGGGAACGTAGGTTTGATGAAAATGGCAGTCTAAGCTGCATTTAATTGTTTTTGTGGAAAATCCAACATGAGTGTTCTGGGCTTTCAGCTGAGAGGAGCTTCAACCCTTGAGTCATAGACGGATGGAATAGGGAGTACATGCAAATACAGAAGTGATACAGAAGTGGTTTTACACACAGATGTGTGGGATTTCAGACTGTGTCTATTCAAATCTCTTTTTTAAAGTTTATTTTGGTTTTCACTGAAACCAGCTAACCCAGGAATCCACAGATTTGGTAGAATTAACTAGCCAACGCTTTCATGTGACTTCCACCAAGGTCATCCACACCTAAAAAAGAAACATAGAGGGATGGAGTGTCACCTGTCATTTTGCACCAACTTTGATGAAAGTCAGAAACAAGTGCAGTTAAAAACTAAACAATATTGTACCAACTGCCCTGCTGGGAATAATATCACTTTTACTAAGTTATATACAGGAAGAGGTTTTTTGCTTCTGATCTTTTCCAAAGCTGATGCAGACAGAAGGGTGAAGCAACATCCAGCTGCAGGATATTGGGACAACAAAGAGATTCTTCGTGGATTTTGGGTGTCACACATACAGTTTTTGGATCTACTTGGACTCCATTCAGAATGTCAAGAGCTGGGAGTTGCCTCTTCTGACAAGAGTCGTGAGAAAGTTAGGAGTTCTCTCCTTCTGTTTCCTTTCTCTCTTTTGTTTTCTCAGGCATATATTACCACTGTTGTTCAGAAATTTCATGAAAATTTCTCAGAAACTGAGAAATTTCATGGCACAAGCAGCTCTTTTTAGAAAGCATGTTGGGTGAAGCACTAAGCTGCCTCCTGTAGACTGCCCGTGCTTTTGGAAATTGGATCATATATCTAAATATGGGATGTGTTGATATCAATAGGTAACTGCAGTGCAGGAGTAGGAAATAAAGCAGAATCAAACATTTGGTGGAGGATTCAGCCTAGGAGCCGTAAAGAAGCGGAAGAGCGACTATGAAGCTAACAACATATTTATTTCCAAATACATGCCTTAGTTAGCCCATTTGTCACCAAATCCCCAATACAGAAGGCAAGTTGACCATGTAATTGGAAGCAGAGGTGACTAACAATTTTATTTGTGTGCAGTCTTCTGATCGCTGCAGACATTAAAATGCCTATGCTGCGGTTGCACTGGCAAGTATAGGATTTGCTGTGGAAGTAGAAAGAATGTATTTGAACTTTTAAAAACTGACCACATGATGCATAGCCCAATGTGAACCAGGCCAGTCTTTTGCTTCAGATGCAGAGTTATTTCCCTCTGCCACTGGGACTTCTACTTTTTTTTAGCTGGTGCAATTTGAGCAATGTTTTCCCCATGTGATTAATTGTTTCATTTTCCAAAAAGAATTGGGGGCAGGCAAGACTGGATGGTATTCTGATGATATACTAAGCTGGGTGTGATGTTTTGGACAGCAATCTTTCTCCGTAGTTGCCCTGAAGTGTTTAATTTTATTTTTTTAAAGCAAACTATCTAGTTTTCACACTTTATTCATTAGTTTGAAACATTAGTTTAGCACTACATTACCTCTGGACAGAAAGTGGCTGTCCAACAAGGCCTTGCAAATAGCAGAGAAGAGAAGGAAACAAAATGCAAGGGAGATAGGGAAAGTTACAGAAAATTGAATGCTGACTTCCAAAGAATAGCAAGGAGAGACAAGAGGGCCTTCTTAAATGAACAGTGCAAAGATGAGTTTACACTTTACAAGTCAACATCTCCCAACAGGTAAGAGCATTATCATTTAAAGAAATGTTTTCTGGTATAAATTGCTATAGGTTTTTTTTTTAAAAAAACTACCATCTTCATTGTGGCCTACCTGTCCTAGATACACAGCAATAGAATTATGATCTCATTTGCATTCTTTCTCCTGTAAGAACTGGGCTAGGCTTCTTTGCCCTACATACTTTGTAGAAGGAGAAATGGATAGTAATATGTATTTTTTTTATGGCCTCTACAGATGCACACAAAAAAGGGTTTTTGCAGCTGTGCAGACAATCCTTTGGAATGTTCCAAAGCCTTCACCTTCTATTCCTAACATTTATAACGTATACCCTGCCCGTGTTCCTCAGCCTCTCTCTGTCCGCCCTGAGAAAGAGAGACGTCCTCCTCTTGCTACGAAGCCTTGCATTTCTACTTAACAGTAGATGTCCTATTTCTCTTTTCTCGTTCTTCCTATAGTTAGTATTTTATTTATATAACATTTTATTTAAATTTGTTTATTAAAATTATTTATATAATTTTATATATTTTAAAGAGAGAGATTTTACTTATTCTACTACGTAACTGTTTTTCCCCCTTCCCCGCTTTTTTCCTGTCCCGCTTCTTGCTAGTGGATTTTCTGTTTACGTTTTACGTCCTTTTTGCCTTTAATGAAACTCTGTTCTGGCTTTGGGTCTAAAATTCCACACTCCGATGGTCATACTTTTGCTTATTTTATTTGGGCGAAGGCATCTAATTCAGCCCTTCTTAATTTTCTGATGTTTTGCCAAATTAGCTCTAAAAACCCAACAACCTAGACTGTGTTCACATATTTGGGAAGAATCCCTGAAATCTTCAGCCTCCCTTTCCGCAGCCCCAGCAAAGAATTCTGCCCCAATTCTTCATCTGGTAAAGGAGGATTTGGAACAACACCCCACACCCTGGAATCAAGCATGCAGCCTTCAACATGCAAGGCAGCCTCAAAATCTTAAATGTTTTGAAGTCAAAGCACAACTCACACTCTAAAAACAAAATTGTTCTGAAATGGAACAGGACGAGCATAACGGTCTACCAAAGGTGACAGAAATACCCACACCTTTATTCCAAACTTGAGAATTACTGAACTGGCAAGCCAACCCCCACACCATTGGCTCTGTATTGGATGGAGAGCTTCATAGCTCATCAGTACGAAGTATCCCATTATTGTCTCTGAAATTACCAACCCCGGGAACATCACCATGAGATGAATGCTTCTCCCAGCTTCTCAGTGACGGGGAGGACATACGGAGGAATCAGTCATTGGGCTGAATCCCTTCCAAGAGCTCACCACCATTTAAGTGAGCCTCCAGTTCACTACGACATAGATGGAGTTTCTGTCCATTTGTCTGTCCGCTATTTGCCTTGTAACTCTTTGTGCCGTGGCGATTGCCCTTCATATTCAAGATCCTCTCATTTGAGGTCCCCATGATGTCAGTCTCAGTATCATTCTTCAACACTGGATCTTAGATACAGGACGGCCAACTATTCTTTTGCCCACTGAATTATGTTTACTATCACCACTGTGTTGGAGACACAAGTGATGCTACTCACCAGAAGCTTCCCCTTGATAACGAGATCACAAGTCCACTCGCTAAACCATATCAGTCTCGTCACCCATGACATGAATATACTGAAGTACTGCACAACTCTGCTAGATCAAACCATTCCAGATCTGAATCACAATTGAACACATGTCTCCATCCTACCATGGTCTCTTACCATCCCCTGAGAGGCAGCCCCCTTACAAAAAAAAAAATGCATCATCTAACCACGGAATCTCAACAACAACAAATAACTCGCAGTATTGTCCTACTACCACCACCAGACTCAAATTTTGCACTTACCTCTCCATCAGTGCAGCTCCAGATGTCAAATCCGACTGCTCCTCCAATGGCAAGGGAGCACAAAACCCCAGTCATACCTGTGATAGAGGAACAAACACCATATTTTTCTGTGTATAAAAATACCTGCCTTCTTATCCCAAAACTTGTACGAGATAGCACTCCTCTCTTCAACAGAGGATTTTGCATCATACAGTGATCTAATGGAAATGATGACTAAGCGCTACAGCTACAAATAGTTTAATCTGCATTCTCTGCAAAAAGAGGCTATCTTTGCTAGGGTCCAAAAGAATGCTCCCGATAAATCTCAAATTAGCAATGCTACAAAAACTAACCAATCTCATTAAGCAATCTTGGAAAAAGCCATCTACCATACCACCAACCTCTAAGAAAATAGAAGATTTCTGCAGGGTACAAGAGGAGAACATACATTTCCTCTTTAAGATCCAACACCAAATTCCATTATAGTAGAGACTACCCAAATGAAGCACAGAAGTGGACCTCGGATGATGGACAGAAGAACTATTTTGCCACCCTCCACATGAGAATATCCAATAGGCAGGTCATAATGGGGGCGTATCATCAGTTCATCTGGGAACAATTTCAACCTGTAATAACATGTCTGCCTGAGGATAAACTGATGTAAGGCTTCTCCTTTCAACAAGAGGCTTACTCATTCGCAGGTCACCAAATTCACTCTACTCGTCTTACTGCTGACTGTGCTGCAGAGAGTATGGCATCAGCTCTAACTGTGCTGACATGCATGGCTCAGGTCTTCAGGTATGTCTTGTATCTCAGGAACCTGTATTGAAGACATACTATTTGAGGGGGATGGTCTTTTCTGTAGCAAAGCTGATGACTTTAAGCAGGACTTCCATAAGAGAAAGACCGCAGCCAGTCATATGGGCTTCAACCTATAGCAACACAGACAACAATAAAACTGCTGCTGCTGCTGCTGCTGCTGGAGGACCTTGTGAAAAGCCTCCATGAGGAAGTTTTCTTCCCTTCAAATGAATGCATCACTTTACTGAAGCAGAAACTACCAAAATCCATGATACCGCTCACCAATATCACAACCACAGTTTCAACATCAACCTGCAACCCAACCTTACAATTGCTGCTCAAGCTATAATAAGTACAAACAATCAGCCAAAATCAGGAGAAAAAAACGTAAACAGCATCTTAGACTCCCCACTTCCGAGACTGACAGCACTATAACCTCCAATCCATTGTCAGCACTAGCCCTGTATATAAGCAATTGGTACAACATCACCTCAAATTCCTGGGTGTTGAACATCATAAACCATGGTTATGCCATAGAATTTTGCCCTCTTCCCCCAACAGGCCACATCCAAACTGCCACTCCATTTGTACTCCTCAAGGCAG